CATTGTTGATATGCTGAGTATGGTATAGATATGCATGCTAGTTTTTATATGGTAGTCTGGTAGATCTGTAGGACTACATGTGATACAGTCTGTTTATATGTATATGATATTATCTGTTATATGTCGACATATTGTATGGGTTAGGTTGAGGTTGTACTGCTCCGTGTTGTAGCCCAACAAACCCTGGAGTATGCCATATATGAGTTGAGGGTCAGGAAGAGCATGCTAGACTCATACTGATGACTCGTGAGCATTCCAGATACGAGTTGAGGGTCGGGAAGGGCATGCCAGACTCGTACTGAGGGCTTAGCGGTACTTAGTCCAATGACTGATCAGGTCGGGGAGCAAACCAGACATAAACTATGGGCCGAGGGCAAGCCAAACTTATGTTGTGGGCTCAGGGGTAATCTAGTCTGTTAAGCTTTGGAGCCATTACATGTTGTTATTATATTTGTGTTATTTGTTATGTATCGGTATTTTGGGGGAACTCACTAAGCTTTGGGCTTACAGTTTTGGATTGTGTTTCAGGTACTTCAGAGGATCGCAACAAGGCGAAGGCGTGATCGTGCACCTCCTCATGTTTTTGTTTTACGATTTTGGGATTTCTCTGATGTGAAACTTATTTTGTAAACAATGTTGGTTTTGGATTGTATTACAAAGTATAAAATTTTCAAGAATTTTATAAATGTTACATGTGAAATAAGCATCATTGGAATAGTGTCCAATCGATTTGTTCACAAAGGAAGGACCATAGAGAGACATAGCATGCATGTTTATAACATGACATGACTGATGTTTAATTCAAGTGTTTAGTTAATTACTTGAAACATTATACAATGAATAAAGGCTATTAAATAATAAGAGTTTTATTTATATTCAATAGTTTTGAGACCATAGTTAGTTAGGTTATTATTGTGTTTCACTTTGCATGTTTTTACTTCCCGAATAATTGGATTATTCAAACATCCACAGTCGATCGTACTTTTGGAAATAAGTAGCGAATTAAGACTGTCATAAATAGAATTGTAGATTGTCTATGGAGATTAGACATAACAATAGTTTTGCTGTAATGTTCACGAGTACTTGAAAAATGGAGATTTGAGTATTGGGTAAACCCACGCTCAGAGAATTACTTCATGGATTCTATCACGAGTAACTCTGAGACGATAATATCTTATATTCTTGAAACGGAGATATATGAGTTGTTGTTTACAAATAAGTTGTGCATTGATAATACGTAAATGCATCAGTAACTTGATGTTATAAAACATATTTTTGTGCGTGATTTGATGAGTGAACAGTGCAAGCATATACGTCGAAGTTTATCCGTTCCTTTTGCCCTAACGAGAAAAGCGATATTTGTGGGCCCCTCGATTATTTGATGTCGATATCTAAAGCGCTTGGCCAAGCCTGGACTGAATTGATGTGTTCAATTGGTAGTCTGAATCGGTCGTCATAAATCATAAATCGGGAAACAAAACTTGGGCAATGAAATTTATTATAATCCATGTATCATGTTCGTATGATATCTTGTATAACAGAGGAATATTTGATCACTTATCTTAGGACACGTAACTGACTGGGTCAGAGTTCGACAACGGCTTTGAGAGCTACAATTTGCTAATTGGTTTTTGAAGTTATACTGAAAACTATAGTTATTAGACTTATCTAAGTGGGAGACTGTTGGATTAGGTGTCTAAGCTCATAACTATAACTGGTATATACTTGAATTGATAGTAGCACAATCATTTTGGGTTGCCCTCATAACTAGCAACTAGACATAATGACTTTTGAAGAGAGAGGTTAACTTTATTATTTGATTAATAAATTGATATGAATGATTTATTAATGTATTATGAAAGTAATATATTAATTATAAATCATATTATTTAATTAATAGTTAATCATAAATTAATTGGAATTAACTTTGAGATTAATTGAATTAATTAAAAGTACATTGTTTGGCCATTTATTGATAGTTGAGGAAAGAGGCTCTAGAACCTCCCTATAAAGGGTTGGACGAAAACTTATAGGAAGGCCCTAGAATTTCTGTCCACGGGCCTTTGGATGGGAATTCATGGAATGCTTGGTCCTTAAGCTAAGGAATTAGGGTTTCGTCCTAAAACCCTAGCTTTGGCTCTAAGCTACCTCACCTATATAAGGATCCTTACCCCTTCACAATTTTGGACATATGAAACCCTAAGGGAATAGTCGAAATTCCTAACACTCCTGTCATCTCTCCTCTCTCATCCTCTTGCTTAGTTTGAGTGTGAACCATTAGAGGGGCGACACTTGTGACGCTTGCTCTCAAAGTTCAAGAAGACTAGGATTTCATTGTTATTGCTATATAACAATTAAGGTGTGTTTTTCCTAACCCTATCAGTGATTTCAAAATTATACTACTATTATTAGGGTTTCCCAATTGATGTTCAAATGTTGTATGTTCAATTAGACAAAACATAGATCAGGAAATTAGGGTTGCATGCACAGATAGGTTTTTGTTTGTTATGCTCAAAACCCATCACATAACATTCTCTATTATATTTATGGTATGTGGTATTTTGGGGAACTCACTAAGCATTGTGCTTACGGTTTACTGTTTATGGTTTCAGGTACTTATGGTACAAAAGGGAAGGGCCCGACGTGACTGCACTACATCCACCCATGTTTCCACAATTTTATGATTTTGGGATTGTACTATGATAGCTGTTTTTACATTAATACACTTTTGAATGGTTGGTAATACTAAATGGTGTTTTTTGGTTGAAATAAAAATGAAATTTTTACCTTTAAATTTTGGGACGTTACACATATTGTGAATTTGAGAATGCAACTAAAACAGCCAATACTGATCTTTACCTTGAATTTTTGGGAAGTATATTGATGGAGTTGGTTTGTGGTTGTAGTTTTGAGAATTCCCAATTTGAGTGGTTCTCACTGGAAGTTGGGTCTTATAGTTAGGGAGAGGAGGATAGTGGTTACGATTGAGTATTTTCAATTTATTAGGTTGTTTGCTAACAACTATGGGTTTCCGAGTGATCTATCGACTTCTCTGTAATATGATTTGATTTCGAAGTGGTTAACCACACACGCTCCACTAATGACATATAAAGCATGATGTGCGTTTTCATTGATTAGCATGCTTTTTATATTTTTCCTAAAGTAACCAGAGTGAGATTTTTAACGAAGGTTCTAGTACTTTTATATAATTATACTTTTAATGAGGTTATGTTCTATCGAACCCATTCTCCTAACGATCCTCCACCAAACAAGGGAGCGGTGGGTGAGAGTAGACACCCATTCAACGAGGTCCTATTTATAGTTTAGGTAACTTGCAGACAAAACTATATTTGAATTAATTGAATAATAGATATAATCTCAATTCAAATCATTTTCTTATATGCATCTAGGAGGCTTCCACAAACCCTAGAAGAGCCTCCAAAACCGTCCACCATTGGATGGTTCTATAATTGTCTTCCTTTATTCAATTATTGGACAATTACAATTCATCACTTGCACCTTTAATTAATTCCAACTATTTAACTATTGATCTCATGTCAATTTATTATTCACATAACAAATTAACATATCAACTATCTATTTCCAATTAATATATTAATCACATAATATATTAACAAATCATTTTTTTCTCTCTCCTAATATCATTTCTAGCTATTTCTTATATGAGGGCAATTCAAAAAGGATTTTGCTTCTATTTGCAAGTTTATACCAATCCAATTATTAGCTTAGACACCTTAATCCAACAACATCAACTTTAGGTACGAAGGATGACAATAGACATTGGTTTGGTTTGGTTATGATGGGGGGTTTTATGATACATTTTATTCATGTTTCCGTTTGGATTGGAATTTATGAATTATAAGTTTAATGACTTATTTTGATAATGAGATTGGATTGGAACTTTTAGATAATAAATCTAATGATTTTGTTTTAATAAATGGATTTCAAAAAGTTTAAAATATATCAAATTTTTTGGGACGATACTAAATAAGTATTAAGACTTTATAAATCAAACATATAAACTGGTAAATCAAAAAACATAGTCATATAAATTTATGGTTAATATTACAAAATGACAATCAACAACATACAACTTGTTCTTTTCAATATGACAATTATGTCATATCGCATGCCATAATAGAGACAACCCTCTAACGATAGCACATACAAATATAAACGAACAAATTATGTCATATTAAACGTCATATTGGATGTCATACATGATAAAAACAATTTAGACGGTTGAAATATACCTCAATGTTGTAATGGGTACCTAAAAAACTTTAGTGGCATACCACATACGATTAAAAACGATTAACCTAAAAGCAAACTATATACTATTAGGTGTCATGACCTTAAAATTTATAATAAAGTAAAATCTTAGCAAACAAAAGAAACATATGGGCGTGGTTTGATGTACAAGCCCAAACAAAGGAGAGAAACGATAATAGAATTTTATTTACAATAGTTATGGCCTGAGCTTATATATACATTGTTTTTTGCTCCAATATTTTTTCACAAAACCTAAATTTATTACTCAGAGATATTAATATCATCAATGCATTTGTGTATGTATACAGTGAGTGGTAACTGGTAAGATGTGCATATAAATTGATTATTATAATATTACATAAAAATATATTTTATTTATTTATTTATCAAATACCAATACATAAATAATATTTCCCATTTGTTTTTTCCGTCTTCACTCGGTCAGACAAGAAGAGGAAGCAAAAGAAACCCAAAATTCACTCACACGGATTGCGATCCGCTTTCTCTCTTTTCATCTAATCGTGTTCGTCCGTTCTATACCAAAGAGATCCAACGGTTTATATATACTCGCGGATCTTTTTCCCCAATATTTCAAAATTTCCCACATCCCACGTATTCCTATAAAAAGCCATCTCCTTCCCACTCTCATCAAACATCGATCTCTCATTCCTGCAATTTACAATCTCTCAATTGTTTATTCGATAGAGATGGCAAGAACTAAGCAAACTGCCCGGAAATCAACCGGTGGTAAAGCACCAAGGAAGCAGCTTGCAACAAAGGCGGCAAGGAAGTCAGCGCCGGCGACCGGAGGAGTGAAGAAGCCACACAGATTCAGGCCAGGAACGGTCGCGCTCAGGGAAATCCGTAAGTACCAGAAGAGCACCGAGTTGTTGATCCGTAAGCTTCCCTTTCAGAGGCTTGTGAGAGAAATTGCTCAGGATTTCAAGACAGATCTAAGGTTTCAAAGCAGTGCTGTGGCTGCACTTCAGGAGGCGTCTGAGGCTTATTTGGTAGGATTGTTCGAGGATACTAATTTGTGTGCGATTCATGCCAAGAGGGTTACGATTATGCCCAAAGACATGCAATTGGCAAGAAGGATTAGAGGTGAAAGGGCTTAGATTTTATGCAAATGTTGTTCTGGTTGTTCATAAAAGTTGCTCTTTGATCCAAGTTGTTCCCAAAATGTATCGCTATTAATGATATTGATATTGTTCTTGAAGAATTATCTATTACTTTCTACTATTCCTTATGCAATAATGTGGACAAACAAATTCCAAATATTTTAAAGCGCTTTGCTTTAAAGAAATAATATGTTGTTGCTACTATATATTGGTTAAAAATAATCACAATCAAAGAAGGAAATATGCTTTGTAGCCATGATCTTCACATGGCTTTGCAACTATGTATGTACAACCATAACCATCTTTGAGGAACTAACTACATATAATTATATAAATCACGAGGGGTGTATCAGAGTCGATACAATAACCGTCCAAATAGAGACTTTTGCATTAGAGATTTAAAGTGTCAAACGGAGTTGGAAAAAAGCTGTTATTATCCAACAAAAACAATATATTGTTCATATTTACAGAATGAAACCAATATCCATTATTGACTCAACATTAAAAAACCCACAAAAACATAAAAGAATATAAACGAAAATATAATATCTTACATTCTTACTTATGTACTAGCAATCAATCCCTATCCCTTTGCGCATCTTTAGATGTTTTTTGACCCATTGAAAATGCATCTATAAAAAATGATAATATTAGTATTTATGTATATGAAGAAAACCTTACCAATTTCTATATGAACCAACTTGTCATTCAATTATTCTATTGCAATACTAAATAGACTAAATAGCTTAATATCCGTCCAAGTCAAATCTTGAGTATAAATAAAAAGCTTACATGGTTTTAGTGCTAGTGAACTTCTTCTATACTTATCAATAAACCTACAACCGGTACTAAACGCCAACTCCATGTTCATCATTGGTAATACATGTTTAGCTAGTATAGACAATATAGGGTACTTCACCGAAATTTGCTTTCTAACAACCTAAAATGTCAAATCTTTTATCCCTTTTCTCCTTTCCATCATCCAAATAAATCTCCACCTCACCCTTACAATCTTATTCTTATTCTTCTTCTTCATATTTATCGAATTTTCACTCAAATCGATATTTGTGTCGATCAAACTACTAGAATTATAACAAGAAGAACCATCTTGTGTGTTTTGCAGATTTGTTTTCTCACATTGCTTCTTGTAGTGGCTGAACAAATCCTGTAAAGTATTCGGTTTTTATTTTAGTAACCAAAACCAATTCAAAATAATAATTCGGTTTTGTTCCAAACCAAAGCAAAACATAAAAGATCCAAACCATACAGTTAAATCATGTTGTACATCTAAGCAATTCGGGTTTACCGAATTGTGAACAACCATAACTCAAGATATTCACAATTTTCCTCAATAGCAAACTAAAATTCACCATTTATCGCACACCTTTACAAATATATACAAATGGAATACTTAAAATTTAAATTCGTAAAACCTTACAAAAAAACATCTTTCATTTGGTTATGCAAAGCCAATAAGTCAAGCATCTGATAAACTTCTCCAGAAAATGGTTTGGAGTCATCACATGACACAAACTCTTGAACCACATTATCAACCTGAATTGAACTACACCCTGGGGTTCTTTTACTCATTATCTTACCTCTTATCAACTTCCTCACTCTTGAAACACCATCCCATCTTCCAAGATCCGCATATATGTTTGAAAGCATCACATAGTTTCCAATATCTTCAGGTTCAAGCTCCAAAAGATGCTCCATTGCAATAACCGCAAGTTCAAGATTACCTTTTGTTCTACACGAACTCAACAATGAACCCCAAATTACAGAATCTGGTTTCATGGGCATGTTGTTTACCAATTCAAAAGCTCGATCAAGACATCCGGTTCGTCCAAGTAGATCCACCAAACATCCGTAATGCTCGATTCCGGGGTTTAGATTGTAATCTTTTTCCATGGAATTGAAGTATTTCAATCCGATTTCTAAGAATCCAGCATGGGCACATGCAGATAAAAGACCAACAAATGTGATCTTATTTGGTTTGATTGTTGTCTTTTGCATGTCTTGAAACAGTTTTATGGCTTCAGGAGCTTTACCATGGTTGGCTAGACCTCCAATCATTGTACTCCATGAAATTACATCTCTTTGAAGCATTTTGTCAAACACTTGGCGTGCTTGGTCGATGTTTCCACTTTTCGAATACATTTCAATCAGAGCATTGCATACACTGATCTTTTCCAAGAAACCATTTTTCTCTGCGTAAAAATGGATCCATTTTCCTAGCTCAAGAGCACCTAATTGTGTACAAGCTGGCAAAACCGAGAGTAAGCTGATCCAATCTGGTTTAACACCTGTTAATTGCATCATGCGGAAAATATGCAACGCATCTTCATGACTCCCGATTCTTGTGTACCCAGAAATCATTGCAGTCCATGAAGCAATTGACTTCTCTGGCATCCCTTCGAAGAGATCTCTAGCTCGTTTCATCTGTCCCAGCTTTATATGCCCGTATATGAGACTATTCCAAGATATCACATCTCTGTCAGTCATTTCATCAAACACCTTATGTCCATCGGTAATACCATCGCATTTTATATACATATCCAAGATTGAATTTTCTATAACAATATTTGATTGAACTCCAGATTGTAAGACATGCCCATGAACTTGCTTGGCTAAATAAATTTCGGAAAGCCCTCTACACGACCTTATAACAAAAGGGTATGTGAAGTTGTCAGGAAAAACTGGTTCTTTAAGCATTTGCTTGTATATATCAATGGTGAACAAATACAAGTGGCAGTGTGTATGGGCCCTAATTATAGCATTGTATAAGTAAATATTCGGCTCAGATACCTCTTTAAATAACAATCTTGCATATTCTACTTGTTGATTTTGCTCACATACATTCACCATTTTCGTGACCAAGTAACTGCTATGTGATAATGAAAATTTCACAATTTGGGCATGGATTTTCTTCAATTTCCTAATGTTTTTACAAGTCTGCAATATGGGCGTGAACATGTTCTCCAAGATCTTTAGAGACAGTAGATTGGTAGTTGCCGCCATTGATACTCAAAAAATTTGAAAGGCGTCGGATAGGATGGAAGTTTACTTAGGCCTTGGCTGACTACGTTAAGACGCTGGATGACTCAATCGCCCATATATATACCCGCCGCATTCATCAGGTTTAACACTTTTACACCCGCCTGAGCAAATTTGCTTTGCTGTTTGAGAGTGGTACTCCCAAGGATTTCCAATTACTTCATGAAGTATTTAATTCGTAGAAATTTTATGGTTTCATAGCAATTTTGTTTTTTTCGTCTATAATTTTTATACTACCTGTTAATTTTTAATTTTTTTTTTCGGGTTTCCTCTTTTCCTTTGCTGATTCGGATGGTGATTAGGCATTTTTATTGCTGCTTTGGCATGATATTCAACGTCCTATAAAAGAAAATGAAAAAGATTGTTTAAGGGACTTGAATTCAAGAGCTCTTGGTGTTTACCCGACATTGATGCATCTATGGATTTCCAGACAATGAGATCATGAGGGTAAAACATCTTTTACACAACTTGAATTGCGAGCTTGAGTGTGGATGGACTATGGATGCCCAGAAACCTACAATCACCAGACGAAGAAGACGATACATTGCGCAGTTTACCATTTTAAAACCCTAAAAACATGCTTAAGGGACATGAAGGAAGCTGGAAAAAGGAGAAAAGGGTAAAACTAATTAGTTGCATGACTCAACACGATGGTCATTCCCACCAATTAGTTGTAATGTTGGTTCACACACTTGCCAACACGATGGTCATTCCCACCAATCAGATGCTTCTAGGTCTTATGGGTTTGGATGAAATTTAAAATGTTTTGATCAGGTAGACGAAAATCATAGATGGATGTTTTATCGAGTATTGTGGATATTATGAATATGAGGAAAATTGGTTTTGATATTGCGGGAATTGTTGAAACTGAGTTTCGGGAATTGAGAGTCGAGAGTACTTGAATTTTGTGAACTCAAACCACAACTCAGGTTTCAGTTCGTAGTCATACTTTTGTCTTTGGCACGTTTTGGATCCATTAGGCATAATATGATAAAATGAAAGTTAGAAGAAGATTGCGGTGTGATAAAATGAGACATTTAGTATGGTATTTATAACGGTTTAAAAAAAATTCAAAGTATAGACTATTAATATATGTAGTCGTTGGAATATGTGATTTTTTTTTTGAAATAATCAGCCATATATATAAAAAAATCTAGCAAGAAGCTAGAGAAATAAACAATTACAAAGAGTTCATGGGTTTTTCAACCAATTAACCAAAAAAACATAACATTTTCTATTTCTATTTGAACACTAAAGAAAAGATAACCCTTTGATGGAATCCATGATGCCATTCTTCTTTAACTTTTCCGATGCAAACAAAAGATCTTTCCTATACTTCCAAATGTACCAAATGGTAGTACAAACAATCACATCCACCATATATGGATTTTTAATTAATCGACATATTGTCGATTAATTGAAAATGATTTGTAACTGAATCAAAGTCCATTCGAGCGATCTCCAACCATTTGCATATGACATCCTAAGTCCTTGTAGCCACTTGACATCTTACAAATAAGTGATCCAACTGTTCTACTTCAAGATCACAAATAGGGAATAGAATAGAAGGAGCATCTATATCCCGATTTTCTAAATTCATTCTAGTTGAAATTTTATCTAAACAACTACACTATATCATTATGGTTTACATTTCTAGGTTAAAAGGAGTTCCATCTAGTATCTGTATTTGCATAGGAAAAATACTTTCGTCAGGGCCGGTTCTGAAATGCCCTGGACAAATAAAAAAAATGGTCCTTATCGCTATTATAAGTTTTTTTATTTTTAAATAAATATATATAATATATAACATAATAAAAAAAATTGGCCCGAAAAAAATTAGGCCTTGTGCAGCTGCCCACTTTGCCCCTCCCTCCGCTCCCCCCATGACTTTTGTCAATCTATTTTCTAGTCACATCCACAAAAAAAAAACCCAATTACCT